TAAATAATTTATTGCTTTGCGACAGTTCGTTCCTGTAGTTACTCATTAAGCATTTATCCAAATGTCCTGTACATATGTTGTATCTCCACGACACAAAAGTAAAACAGGTAAAGGCAATCTGCCATCCACTTTAGTTTTAGGTACAACGCCCAGTGGAGCCACCTCAAATCCTTTATGAAAGTAGGCGTAGATACAAATAACAAAAAACCCTATACTTGATGAATTTGTAAATTTAATGATTTGTAATCTTGTTTCCTTCAGAAGAGATTTCAGGTGGCTTGCAGAGGGGGAGCAGTCATATACCATTATAAAATAGATAAAAATAGGTTATGTAGTAAGTTTATGGACCACTTCTAGAATTGATTTGCACATTTAATTCTGAGTTTTTCAGTGGCCAAAGCAGAGAGGAGCTCACAGTTGCCTGAAGCATGCTTCCCGGGAGGGGGCTCGGAGCAGGGCGCTGGGCACCCTCGGCCCCATTACCTCCTGCCTGTGCCAGTCCCTGTGCGTGTCTGAAAGCTGGTGACTGCCGACACACGTGGCTCACAGAAGTGATTTTAAAGGGGGCGCAAACCAGCGCTGCCCAGGTCCCGAGCTCTGTGGGGCTCTTGCTTGCCCCAGGAACCGCATCTGAAGCACTGGGAGGAGCGGGAGAAGTCAAGCCAGTGCTCTGTCGGCTTGGATACTTCAATTTGTGATTGAGAGAAGGCTGTGTAGACACCCAAGGTATAGTACATCATCCAGAGGTCCCTCTGCGTTAGCTGGAGCCGAGTAACTTAAGTAGTGTAGTGGGAGATAGGACCTCGTGTGAGGGTTCCGAGCCCAGCAGTTCCGGAGCCTAGGACGGCGGCCTGAGCCACGCTGGTCACCTGTGCGGTTTCAGATGCTGCTATTCTCAGCAGTGCCATCTGCTCGCTGCCTGGTTTTGCTAGTTATTTTTGCAGTGAGGTGCTGAGCTCACGCATTTCTGTCTTGCTGAAAGGGAGTATATACTGTAAATAAGTAAATGTCATATGTTTTAAAAGGAATACATGTAAAAGTATATTATTATTTTCCTATTCTAAATTTTGGCATCTTGAGACAAGTCTCAACATTTTCACCTCCCAAAATGAGCTCCACAGAGCTTTAGGAATGTCTCCCCTTCCAGACCCAATTGCCTACACCCTATCCAAACTGAGACCCAGGACCCTGGAAACGAACGCTTCGGCTGTCATATTGACATTTATGAATTGCACAAATTTATTTACTAGTCTTCCTCTGCATCATTTTGTAAGCTTCCTGAGATCAGGAAAGATTTATTGACTTTGAGAGATACTTTAAAATTTTAAACTTCAAGTAGTTTGGAGTTTTATTTAATACAAGAAAATGCAGACAATAATTCTTTATTGTATATTCATCTGTAGGCATTAACAAAGGTGACATCTTGTCATATTTTATTCTAGTTTTTTTTTTTGTTAGGAGGGCAAGGTTTGGGGTATAATTTATACATAAGAGAGTGCAAAGATCTCAGGTGTAGAGAATGGGGACTGTGAACATTGCATAAGTTCATTTAGTAACCATCCAAGATGTGACACACAACAGTCCACTCTCTGGTCTATCTGCACCCCTAACGGGGCAGCCACATTTTGCTTTTTTATCACTGCACATGAGTCTTGCCTGGGTTTAGACTTGAATAACTTCAAGTAGATGTTCTTTTATTTCCAGCTTCTACTAAGTGTGATGTTTTTGAGATTCATCCATGTTGCAGTAATTGTTTTTACTGGAGACTTGCATCTCATGGTATTTGTTCATTTTCCCCGTTGACGTGTGACATTTGCTTTGCCTCCAGTTAAGTCTGTTGTGATGATTCACGAACTATATTTTGTTTTTGTTTTGGATGTGGGTGGTATAAGTACTAAGAAACGGGATTGGTCGGTCAGACGGTAGGTGATATTAACGTAGGACAAGGTCAACTGTTTTCCCAAGGGGCCAGAGCGTTTACAGTCCCCTCGGTAATGTGAAGGAGCTTGGGTTGGTCCAGGAACTCGTGAACAATTATTTTTGTCAGTCTTTCAATTATGGTTGTGCTAGTGGCTTTAATTTGCATTTTTCTCATGAAGAAAGATGTTAAATACATTTTCATGGGTTTATTGTACATTTGTCTATCTTCTCTTTCAGCATGTCTGTTCCAGTTTTTGTTTTCTTCAGCTGCTGTTTTTGCTTTGATTTTCTTTTTATCACAAAGTTGTAGGAGTTCTTTATATTCTGGATACAAGTCCGTTGCCAGCTATATGTATTGCAAATATTTTTTCCCAGTCTGTGACTCGACATTTTTATTTTTGTCTGTACCAATTTGTAAAGATATTCTTTAATTTTTTAAAAGAAACACTGAAGTTTCAGCTTTCACTTTTAGGTCTGTGGTTTGTTTTTAATTAACTTTATGTAGAGTTTCAGGGCTCTTTTTTTTGTCTCCTCTCACATCAATGACTGGTAATCAGACACCCGTTTAGTGAGATTTTCTTGATCAGCAAGCTGCTCTGGTGTCTTGCTGTAAATAAGTGATTGGTGTGGTCCATTTCCGAGCTCCCCGCTCTGCTACATTGATCTATTTGTCTATTCCTTCCGCCAGTGCCTGGCCCCTTTTCCTTGATTATTGCAACTTTTTAACGTGGTCCAAATTCTCCTGCTTTGCTTTTTCTCAGTTGTTTTGGCTACTGAGAGTCATTGTTTCTCTGGTAAATTTTAGAATTGGATTGTAAAGTACTATACAGAAGCACAGTTGGATTATGGTTACGAGTGCATCAGATCTATACTTTTATTAGAGAGAATTGAGGTCTTCATAATGTTGATTCTTCCAGTTTTCTACTGTGGTACATCTCTTCATGTGTTTTAAATATCCTCTCAATTTTTTCATTGTTCTTGTCAGTGTAAAAGTTATGTTTTCATGCTGCTATGAATGGAATTGTCATTTAAATTTCTCTATCCAATTGTTTGCTGCCATTGTATAGAAATACAACTAAATTTTTCACGTTGGCCTTGACTCTTATGGTTTCGCTCAGTAGTTCTAATGGTAACTTGGAAGGTTCCTTCGCTTTCTCTGTCAATCATTTCATCTGAGGTTAAAGGAAGTTTCACAAAATCCGTTTAAATCTTTTGTTTCTTTGTTACATAAAATTGCAAAATTTTATTATATTTGCTTCGGTCTTTGTTCTCTTCCCCTTACCCAGCCCCTCTTTCACTGGATCTGTTTCCTTTCATTCCTGGTTCTTGGTCTAGCCCTAAACTCCTCATGTTTAGGACACTCACTCCCCTCCCTTCTGGTTAGTCACATCCTCATTCATAATCAATCAGCATTTTCCATGTATTCCTATTGACGAAGCTTGAGAGATGCCCTTTTGTCGATGACTAATCGGAGAAATTAAAATACACAGCTTCGGGGGAGGCCTGTGCCGCACAGTCAGGAAATAACAACATTCTACGTGGGTAGGGAATTCTAAAGCAGGGATTTAGTATAAAACCACCCGAATAAATGAATCACAAGTAAATCCAGAAGTGATTATTTATTACTCACAGGTGCCAGGCTATTTCGAAGGGCACCTTGACATTGCCTAATTGTGGAGATTTAAAGTCCTATAAATTACAAGTCATTGAGATAACGGTTTTATTTGGTTCATTTAAATCAGTAAATTGATATAAAATTTTATTCATTGCAGCAGATGCTCCCTCATATTGCAGCTATTATAAGGAAGACCTCTCTGTTCCCAATAAAAGATTACAAAACTGATCTGAGCAGACATTTTATAAGCATAATTTTACTTTAAAATGTATAATAGATCTAATTAATCAACTCTTGTATGAGGTGATATTTTCTCTAAGCACATTCAAATTTGCTGTAGAAATAAGACCATCGAGTGGTCCATTGAATTGTTTTACCAATATGTAGTTCATGAGATGAATAAAAATCTCTGATGAGGAGCCAAAGACAATGCTGCAAGTTCCTTTATTTATGAATCTATCCACCCATTTATTTATCGATGATAGTTCACATTTAAAATAAAATTAATTAGTATAGTATAAATGTACCCAAACTCAATCTTTAGGTATAATTAATATTTCTTAAAATGATGGATGACAATGAAAGTTGTAACATAGGAAAACATACCTTACATGTTAGAATGGAGTGTTAGTGCTTCGTTTTGAGGTAGATCTCTGTCCTAAGTGTGGGAGGGTCTGTGCACTTGTGTGTGAAGCATGATACCTCTAGGACAAAGATTCTCGTCACCACGTTACATTAGACCAGTGTGCTATGTTTCTACACATCATGTCCAGCCACACCTTCTGTATCTGCTCCTGCCAACCTCTCTCCCTCCTGCTGTCTCAGTGTGCTACTGCTGCATAACAAATGACCACGGGCTCAGTGGCTTAGGACACATCCACTTACCAGCCCATCATTCTGCTGGCTGCCATCCACATGGACTTGATGGGGCTCTACACAGGGTCTCCCACAAGCCTGAAACTGTTGTTCAGGAGAAAAGATCGACTTTCAGTCTACTGTGCTGTGAGAAGAATTCGGGTCCTTGCAGCTGTGGGCCTGAGGCATCTGTCCTTGCTGGCCGAGGGAGGGGTGGATCTTGTCTCAGGCTGCCCTTGGGTCCTTTCTGCCTCTCTCATTTCTCTTCCAAGCCAGCAGTGGAGAATTTCCTTAGGCCCAACGCCCTTGGTGCTTCTAGTCCAATTCGTCTTTGCAGCTGGATGGAGAAAATTCTGTGGTTAATTTTTGTCCCACTTAGATAATCTCCCTATTTAAAGATAACTGATCTATCAAGGTTCAATACAACTGAAAAAGCATCGTGCAGTGTAATGTGACAGTCACAACAGCAGCACTGGGGTGGAGATCGTGAGCAGAACCATGGAACTCTGTCTTCCTTGTGATGTAGGCATGATGTAGGCCCTTGAAATAATGCAAATAATATGAAGGGGATGCTGTAACTCCCAGCCTGCTAGCTGCCTGGTATGCTGAGTTCATGTTCCCCCAAATTGAGAGTGAATTCTAAGGAACAACAACAGAGGTTAAGAGCAGGAAATATTTATTGGGGGAAGGAAAGCTTCCATCTAGGAGAGACAGAGGGGCCCCAGAAACTGGGTTACCCATGAGCCCACTTCCCAGGGGACGCTTTTCAAGTAAAATTACAAGGTGGGTAGTAGGTAGACTAAAATCATGATTAACTAATAAGGTTACAAGTACAGTAGCTTAGGTAATATTGATCTAATGGGAAACCACAAGGTGGGACAAAGCTATGGTCAGCCAATGAAATTACACGTATTGTCACTTAGGTAATATTGACCCAGTGGGGAAGCAAGTCATGTAGCAAGTGTGCATGCAATGCACAAGGACTTTTCTTGGACAGGATGGGTCAGGGACTCTTCCTGTCTCCCTCCCATTGATGGCTATTTAGAATATCAATCATTATTGTTTATCCCCAGGGAGGTGTTTATCCCTGTGTAGATGCAGTCATTCCCTCTTTATCTTGAGGTCTGGCCTCTAAGAATGCACCTGTACCCACAGTTGCAATGTACCCCACCTTCTGCACTGGCTCCTTCAAGGGTACAAGCCTGTCTGACGGCCGGTAGTATTTCTACCTAACTTAGCTGTTTATAATGCTTACACACCAACTCTAGACCATATCTCCACGCCCATGACCCTTTAAACATCAGACTCTCCATCTACCAGTCTATCACTAACCGTCATCGTGCGTAGGGACTCGGCGTTTATGCCTGGTGTTGACGCTTAAAGTTCTGGCTGTGTGGCTGGCGTTTTTGGTGTGGTGATGCTGAAATCAGTGGGGCAGCTGTGTTTGGGAGCTGAGGGTCAGCCAGCAAGTGATAGCACAGCGACTAGGTCTCGTGTGGGTGGGAGAGGGCTGCCAGGGACCGGGTGCTTTGCTAGTGTCAAGGGCAGGCATCTGGCATGCAGGCAGTCTCCAGCCCCAGCCAGGTGTTTGGGTAGAGAGCTGGGCAGTCCTGGAGGCAATGTGGGGAGGGCTGTGATTCAGTTGCATACAGAGGCTGTGCAACAAGACCAGTTCATAGCTCATGTGCTAGAGAAACAGTGGTTTGTGGTGTGCCTTACCCATGTCAGGGTAGGTGTACTGTCTGACCTTGCTGGTAGGGCTGGAGAGGGTAGGAACAGCATCTCCTGACTTTCTGTCTCATAGAGCTTTTCAGGATGAAGTACCTTGCCCTGTCCTTTCCCCGTGTGAGGATCGGGAAGAGATGCCTCTTCCATTTGTTCCCTTGGGGCCTCCCTGGAATTGGGGCTCCTGGGTGCTTCTAACCCTGAACACACCATACAGGGTAAGCAAGGGGGTGATGGGAAACCTCTGTGCACGGACAGTGCTGAAATCAGAACATATGAAGTGAATCCAGATCCAGGAGTCTGCCTTAGTCTGTTTCTGCTGCTGTCACAGAATACCTAATTTATAAAAAAGAAGAGACTTACATTTTATAGTTCTGGAGGCTGGGAAGCTCAAAATCAAGGCGCCAGCAGCCGGCAAGCGTCTTCACGCCGTGTGACCGCATGGTGGAGGGTGGGAAGGCAGGACAGCAGTGGAGCAGGAAGGCCTGACTCACCTGGTGACAAGTCCCTTTCCTCAGTAGCCAGCCCACTACTGTGGCAGTGACACAGATCCAGTCACAAGGGACGCGCCCTAAAGACCTGATGCTCTTTAGTAAGCCCAGCCTCCCAACACCACGGACCTGGGGGTTACGTTTCCTGCACATGAACTTTGGAGGCAATTCAGACCACAGCACAGCCTATCCAAGAGGGATCACGGAGAAGGGCGGCTGGGGCTCGGGATAGAAGGAACAATTAAAAGGCCAGGAAAGGCAGAGCCGCAGGAGGTGGAGGAGACAGGAAAGGCAGACCTGCGGACCGCTCCTTCATGTACTTCCTCCTCCCTCCCGCTCTCCCCGCCGCACGCCCTTCTCTGCCTCGCCCTCCCTTCTTCCTCCCTCCCTTTCTAATATCATCAGCACATTTTAGTTCCAACCAGCTAGAGTGGGGAGATGCATCTTCCTGTTTTACTTTAGTCTAAAGCACTTTTCATATATATTTTTTACAAAACTATATCCTCTATGTCTTAGGACTGCTTTTTTTGAGTACTTAAAGGTAATGTTAAGTTTTTAAAAGAAGCATGATAAAATGGGGAGAAGATCTTGTTCACAATTGGGCCCGAAACATTATTTTAGCCTTGCACGGCTAGGATTTTCCCAATAGCTTCTTGAAAAATGATTGGTTGCTAACAGTCAGCCCAACATATTATTTGTATAGGTGCTATTTGCATTTTGCTTGATAAAGTTATAGTACTGTTAACCATTATTAACATCTATGTTTATTTTATTGCAAGGGTGAAATTCATTCTAGCCCATCCTGATCTTTTTATAGATCCTCAAAGTTCCTCCAGAACTTTGGACCAGAGTGCCTTAACGCCATATTAAATCAAGAGACTGTTCTAGGGACTCTGCTGATGTCCAGGTAACTAAAACCTCACCCTTTTGGGGTCAGCCTCCAGGGGCCCATGAAGGAAGAGCTGTGAGATTATTCTGTGCTCTTCCAAGCTTGGAGAACCCATGGCCATGGACCATTTCTCCTCTTTTAAAAAGAATTGTATAATAAAAATATTTGAAAAGGAAGTTTTGTTTCTTAGAGACACTAACCATATTATATACTTTATATGCAGCCCGTGACAATTCCTCTTCACCCACAGGACGGACACCTTACTAGAGCAAAGCAAGGTACGATCATGTCACAGCAATCCCCTGTTCAATGGTACAGGAAGTGAGCAAGTGGGTGTGAAGGGCTGCCTGGGCTGGGCCGAACAGTTCCTGTTTATTAAGCCTTCTGTTGCTTTGTTCCTAAGTAAGATAACGGGCAAATCCAGAGACACGTGTACGGCTCCAGGTTCACCACGTCGCTGCCTGTGATCACTTCCTGTCTCTCCCAGCCTGGACACATGGCAAATGTGAGCGTGCTTCCTGTGTTGCCCCTGCCTGGCACCCGGTGGCACTCCACAGACAGGCGTGAGTCATCTGTCCTTGACCATCGCCAGGAGGCTGGTGCCCTTCTGTAAAAAGCCTGATTTACATGGTGCAACTACAAATGCAGAGGATGGGTGCCATTCTGCCTGTTGAGATCATTATTAAGAGAGCATGTTTGAAACCAAACATATCCAACGGTCTGTGGTCTACTAACGCCCAGGTATTACTCTCCACCTACAGGGCTGCAAAGCTCGTTTCCTGCTGAGAGGAATTCCGTTCTTGTGAATTTAGTCCACGCCTCTGGAGTCAACCTTATAAAACTGTCGCTGCCTTTCCTTTTGAGGGAATAGAAAACGAAAACAGAGGCGTTGGCAACTCATTGTGCGGCCCTATTCAGAGAAAGGGAGATGCACTGTCCTTCTTGTTCTTTTAAAATGTAAAAAGCTGTGCTGAAACAGAACTTTACATTACAGGTTGCCGCGGCTAGCTGCGGAGGGAGTGGGGTTTCTGCTTTCTCATGGGAAAGCGTCCATCCCACCTCCTGCATAACGCCTTGGCGTGGTGTGCAGATTTCTCTTTGTTAAGTGGTTAGTGAGTGGCAACATTTCCTTCACACATTCCAATTTTTAGGTGAAGATAACTCCATGGGTGCTAAGCATGCAAGCTGGTGTTTTCCTCAGAAATAATGAACCAGGTAGTAAAACAGATACTATTTTTAGATTGCTTTTTAATCTCTGGCTTTATTAATGCCACAATACTTTATTCAGAAAACTTTCCTAAAACACGAACATGTATAAATACTGTAATTCTTTACTACCAACCTAGTATTTCTAGAAAAATGTACAGTCATAAACAAATAAATAAAAGCTTAGGGAGAAAACTCTTTAGTCTCCGTCTTAGATCCTTCCTCCTCACTGGGATGCAAACCTGGACACCCACAGTTTACAGGAGGAGAGGTTGACTTTGGATCGTGGTTTTCGTCTACAGGCAGGAAGGACACGGCGCAAGACCCTGCTGGAGAGCAGCTGTTCACGTCGCGGTGAGCAGGAAGCTGAGAGCGTGCAGCAGGAGCCGGGAAGGGAGAAACCACCATCCGGGTCGCTTCCCAGCAGGCCGCACCTCATAAGAGCCGCAGCCCTCAGCCCTGTAATCCAGTACCTTCCAGAGGTCCTACCTGTGATTCCGTGTGGGTTGGGGGCACCCTAGATACAAACCGTAACACTCTCCTACCCCGTCTTCCGGATCTTCCCTTCCAGGCCCTGCCAACCTGAACTTCACTTAAGCCCAGTTCCCCAGGGAGGAGGAGCTTGGAGGTGGGGAGGGATGGATGTGGGTAGGAAGAGCCTACTTTTGGAGATTCCCAAAACTTCCTGGGCGGCGGGTGGAGTGGACGCTGAGGAGAGGTAAGTTGTCTTTACCGCAGGAACGGATTTGGATTATAAAGCAGGGAAACAGGGTTCTTGATCAATATTTAATAATAGTGACTTAAAATTCAGATAAATGTCAGATCCTTTTTCTTGGTCATCTCAGTTCCTGCGGAGGATCAGATCTCCTATATCCTAGTACAGAGTCTTGTCTTCCCTGGAATTGTGCCCTTTGCACTAAACTACTTAGAGAATAGATATTGATCAGTATGGCCGGGTAACAATAGCAATTTTTTCTAATTTTTAATTGTTATTAGCACATTTGCAGTACATAACGATTACACTCACTGTAGGGAGTTAGTATATGTGCTAACGCATCTAAGTTCCTTTTTTCCCCTCTCTCCACCCCCTTTTATTTTGCCAGCATCAGATTCATTTATTTATCTTTAAGTCCCTATAATTAGCATATATACCTATTAACAACCAGGCTAATAGGCCACAAAACAGATAAAATGCATAACACATTATACTAGCTCAAGGTACACTTTTAGATACATTGTCCATGCTGGATTACAATGGCTTTTTTTTTTTTCTCTCTTTTTTCCTATTATCTTTTATTTCACACTTTATCTATTGCATTTTTCATGTAAGAATAACCATGTGATATTTAAGCCATGTGTCTGATTTATTTCAGTTAACATTGTGGTTTCAAGGTATATCCATTTTCCTACAAATGACTGAAGCTTTTCCTGCTTTACGGAAGAGCAGTAGGACAAAGTGCTGGAGGTCACTACTTTGAGACTAGAGGAAGAATTGAGGGGTTATTACATTTTCACCACAAGTTGAAATTTTTAAGTAGTTGAATTTTTTATTTTTTTTAGTTTTTAAAATGTTCAGATTTCAGTTGCAAATTAGGATAGACTTATAGAAATATTGGTTTGTTAACCTGAACAAGTGCTGTACACTGTTGTAAATGTTTTCAGTGTATAATGGCAGATTCATGGGTTTCAGAAATTATGAATAATGAAACCCATTTTTACTTTTAAAACATGGGAGGTACATTTCTCTCTGCTTGTTACAGAAAGTAAATGGAAAGAGAAAACATTGAGAGTATTATGAAGTCTTGTGTTTTTGACGAAGGATACTGTTTCAAATGCTGATTATTATTCACATTTTATATCTATGAAACAATATGTGTTTTATAAATTTTATAAATCCTTCACTTTTGAGAGGATTAAGCAGGTTTTTCTCTTATAGTCATAACATGTTCAAATGTATTTGCATCAATGGTAGATATAATTTCTCTTTGTAATTGAAATTTAAATCCCAGCATAAATATAGTGCTTGGAAAACTATTTTATGAGTCTTTCTTTTATCAGGGTCCTGCATGAGTAGAAGGTTATACAGCTGGAGATTTTTTGGAGACAATTAAGACTTACTGGCTTCTCAGCTGGTGGTAGAAGTTGCACTCCCAGACTCTTGGTGTCTTGAAATTGTTACCCAGGTGAATGTCTTTTATAACACGCCACTCTTCAGTATTTTTAAAAGAAATTTTTAGCATCAGAGACTTAAGGGATGATCTATTGGAGCTTAAACTCATGACAAGTGCAAGGTGTAGGTTTTTCCTCAATGTGATTCATATCAGGCGAACCTGAGACCCTCACTGTCTTTTCGGGATGATTCTTTTCCCAAGGAAAGTGTTGATGTATACTGTTGATTTGTAGTGCTCCCTGCCCCCTCTTCCTGTCTCCTCTGAGGCAGACACCCCGTTAGAGTTTAACATCTCCCTCTTTCCCTTTCTGCAGACTAGAAGAGAGGCTACCTGAGCCAACAGCCTAATAAATAAGTAATTTAGTTTGATACCCACAATTACTGCCTAACTGATGAGGAATTTCCGAAGATCTTTCCGGGGTTTCACAAATCAGACCACATGTAGAGTTCTTAGTTTATAAAAATATTTATCTGTATGTTCACAAAAATTCCAGAGGATATAATCTTTTACAGTTTCAACACATTACAACCGGCTTGATCTACATTTTAGCCAAATCACAAGTGGCCACAACATTCAGGTGCAAATAGATTCTCTAAGGAAATCAATCTTTTCAGTTCTTTTCAAATTAATGTAACTAGTAGGAAATTTGATTTGACTTATTTTCATGAATGTGAAGTGGATATTATTTGGTTAAAGACGTTTGATTTCTGAGTTGAGATTTTTACCCTCATTTGACTGAAATCTCTCTCTATTTTAATGTGACAAGATTTACTTCTTGAGATGTAGTTTGGGGCAGGAGGGATACTAAATTGGTTTAATTTGTCCTATTAGACCAGGACTGTGTGCCTATTGACTTTGGAGAGAGCACACTGTACTTGCCTTTGATTTGCTGCTTCACGCAGGGATGAGGCACAGTGTGGCAGAAAGGCTCCGTCTCTCTGCCTGCCTTATGCTTGACAGCATTTTGTTCCCCTTGAAAGACTTTCAGTGGTAAAAAGTACGGTAATTATTAATTTCCAGCTTGACAGTGTGAATGTTTCAATGCCAAGTTAGCAGGTAAAAATGTCACAATCCATTTCTATTGTATCTATCTATTGAACTCCAAAGGGTTCCTAGCAAACCACTGGAGTGAGAATGAAGATGACTGCAACATGCAAATACCAAGCCAAATTAACTTTGTTAACAGTACTTGACCTTTCCATAAAATACTCAGTTCTGTCAGATAGTCTTGTTCACGATGATAGTTTGAAGGAAATTAACATTCATCATCTCCCATTGCTTTTGTTAACTGGGGAGAAATGGTTTTGGCAGCAGACACGCCCTGGTCCTCTCCCACTGAGCTAACGCTGCTCCTTGGGGCTGCAATGACTGTGAGCTCTCTGAGGCACAGGCGACACCAGCATGTGTTGCTGCCCTGATGGATCGCAGCAGGACGATTGCACCTCACAAATGCACGCCTGAGTCATCGGCCTCGGAGTCGAGGCTCAGTCATGGGAATCTGAGTGTCACCGCTGCGGCGAGGACCACGGGCATGGAGGGGGAGGGGGCTGAGTTTTGCGCTCCAGTCCAATAGAAAGGGAGCATTGCAGGGTTAAAAAGATCTAGTAGCCACATAAAAACCGAACACAGGGGTGACGATTTTACAGATCTATTCCACTGGCTTCATATATCCAAGATACTGTCCCTTTGACCATGGGTGCAGCTGCTCTCCAGGGTTTGACCATAGCGGCGGGTGGTCGCCGTCCTGGCCAGCATTGCTGAGGATTCCCTGAGGCTTCACACTGTGTGCGTCAGCAGCTGTGCCCAGCCCACGGCTCTCTCTGGAACATCAAGCCCTGCAGGACAGTCAGAATCTTATCTGGGTTTATAGACGCAGCCCTGTACCTTCCATGAACATGGTGGTTCTTTGTTTTGGGTTTTGGTTTTTGGTATTGCCTATGACCCAGAAGGAAAGAAAGTGACTTTTCTGAATTGGGCTGGGACAGCAGGAAGAGCCCTGGGACAGGTGTTCAGACCACTGTGATTAGGGAGGGCTGCTTACCAGTGACAGGGACAATTCAGTCTAACCCAGAAGATAAATACAGTGAACTCTGATGACCATAGTACCTGTGTGTGGGCAAGCATTTGTACTAAGATTCTTTAGAAGTCCCCATAAAGAACTAAGCAATAAGTGATAATTCTTGGATTTTTCCAGTGAGGGCATAGAGAACCAAGAACCAAAACAGCATAAAAATGGTTGGTGATTTCCACGTTTAGTGAAGACAATCCTATGAAGGAGAGAATAATTCTCTGTGTCAATGAGACCTTTGAGCACGTCTAAGGTTTTTGAAAGACTGGTCAAGTTACAGTCACAGTTCAGTTTTTAGAGATGTGGTAAACTGAAGCTGTGGTTCTTGAAATATTTATGGGAAAAATTTAATTTGGAAAAAATATGGATATGGATAATAGACACATAGTTTAAGAATGAAGAGGAAAAAATACAAGATTCACACTCTATTTTTTGTGCATGAACTATCTTTAAAATGAGAGAAATTAATAAATTAATACAATTTATTGAGCACATACTGTTTTTAGAGCACTGTTGGGTTTACAGATATTATAGTGACAGTGCAGACGCTTGCTGGCTTACTGGAAATCTAAGCATTACACAAAAGTCAGAGGAATGAAAGGTGGGATATGATTCCTAGCCACAGGGGTCAAGCAATACTTTCTACTGTAGGGAGAAGAAATCTGGGCATCGGAGGCACAGTGCACCCTGCAGCAGGAGCTGGAGCAGATGGGGGCAGGACAGTGGTGTAAGGTCTGAGAGTCGAAGGTGTGCCATTGGCTCCTCATGGTTTGCGTGGTTCTGAGGTGGGGCTTGTGCGAGGAGATTGGATCACGGGGTGCTAGCCTCATGCGTGGGCCTATCCATCCACAAGTTCATGGCTGAACCTGCTGGGGGAAGTGGGACCTGGCTGGCAGGGGGTCACTGGGGGCGTCACCTGCAGGGTGGATTCTTCTTCCTACTTCCTTGCTCCTCCTTTCTCTCTCTCTTTCCTTTCCTCCCTCCTTCCCCCTCTCTCTGCTTTCTGGCTGCCAGGGGGGGAGCAGCTTTTTACCAGGCCCTTCCACGTTATCATTTCTTCCTTAGAGCCAGCAAACCAAGGACTGAGCCCACTAAAAATAACTTAAATATTTGTGCAAGAGTAAACTTGAATTGTGGGTATTGGTATTTTGCCCCAGCAACAGAAAAAATAACTAATACAATCCCCTGTCCTTTTTGTAGTAGAATATGAGTAACATGAAATATGCCATCTAAACTATTTTAAATGTACAGATTAGTGGAACTAAATAAATTCAAAATATTGTCAACCACTACCTCACACATCCCCATAGCTCCTCATGTTACAAAAGAGAAGCCCTGCACTCATTAAATAATAACTCTCACCTTCCCAAGTCCTTGATAACAACTGTTCTACTTTTTGTCTGTATTAACGTGACTGTCACAGGTACCAGTATAAGTAGAATCACACAGCATTTGTCTTTTTCTGATTGGCTTATTTTGCATCACGTAAAGCCTTCAAAGTTCCCTCATGTTGTGGTATTGCAGCCGACTTATATGTCACAGTTACAGCATATTGAGGGAGAAGCAATGCCTGTTCTGTGTGTTTACTGAAACTTTCCTGACTCAAGGACTCTCAGATGACTCTCAGAGAAGGCAAGAGAGAGGTCACTGGCCAGGCAGCTGGCCTCACTGAGTCAACACTTTGATGTATCATGGTCCAATCATCTCTC